GGCGCCTGCCGCTCGAGCTGAACAGCAGCTCTCTGAAAAACTGCAGGAGAGAGGCCGTTGTTTCTGAAGGTGGCTGCTGTCTGTGGCATTTACCGATACTGGGGTGGAAAATCTGAGGTAATGAGGAGTTTCTTACTCTGAAGTGTATTGGAAATCTTCTCTCTGGGCCTGTCATGAGGTAAATGACAATTCCTTGAAAACAAACCCAAATCCTGCAGTGGGAGCACACTGAGGGTTTTAACTCTGACCTCTTCGCTGATCTTGGGGTGGCCCCTCAAATAGGGTGACCTAAGCCATGGGTGGATGGGCCGGTGAGCCTGGGTTCCTGGTACTGCTGCCTTAATCGTGCCTTGTGTGGTCACCTTTGAGCATTAACCTGACACCGTGAATTTGTACCAGCACAAAAAAATGTTGCTGCATTCACGTCTGGGGATCATGTGTTGCGTCTGTTAGAGAACATATCTGATTACGTTTAATGGGGAGCCCATAAATAATACATTTTTTGGAAGTGGGATGTTGATGAAGTGGCTGGAGCGAGGCCACAGCCCGTGCTCCCAGAGGTGCCTCTGGTGGTGGTTGTGATGCTCCTGCCCACGTCTCTTGCAGGTTGGGAGTTAGAAATGCATTTGTTGAAGCAATGCTGAGCTGAGCGCATGCTCATCCTTTAGGCAGTCATTGATGTCCCACTGAACTCCACCTGACTTCACCCAAAAACACCCCACTGAACTTTAACTTGTGTTGGTGTCACCCTTAGGCAGCTCCTGTGATGAGAGTCTCGCTCCATGGGGAGGAATGACCCCGTGCGCTGGTCTGTGCTGGGGACAAACTGCTGCGAAGCAGCTTCATGGAAAAGGTCTGGAGTGCTGGTTGACATCAAATTGAACGTGAGCTGACGGCGTGCCCCTGGGCAAAGGGGATCAGCAGCATCCTGGGCTCCCCAGCACAACGTGGAGGTGCTGGAGTGAGCCTGTGGGTGCTGGTGCTGCGCCCGGTTGATGCCAGCCCTGCAAACTGCCCCTTTCCCGTGCAGCAGAGCAGACTGGACAGGTTCTTGGAGCAAAACTGAAACGTTAGGTGAGGATCAGCTGGGAAGGGAGGGATGGAGGGGCTCTGTGATGTGAGGTTTCCTTACTCCATCACTTCTTCATGACATGCGATGCCTGGGAGAGCCTGTGCTGCAGGCTGGGGCTGCTGCTGCTGATCACCCTCACCCGAGAGGGATGCTGGGAGCCTTGGGGCCACGTCCGTCCCATCACCAAGTCAGCGGTCGTGTTCTGTGCCTGCTCAGGACTGTTTTACTTGCAGTTGCACCAGCCTCCCTGGCCCCTTTGCTCCTCACCAGCTGGTTGAAGAAGTTGTCACGAGCAGGCTGATGTTTTGGAGCAGGAGATAAGCAGGAGGAGGATTCCTCAGGAGTGCTCTCAGTTACTGAGCTGCCCTCCTGGATTTTTCCCAGTGAATTTCGGGAGCATACCTTTCTTTTCTTTTTTAATTGCTCTTCAGGTAACTGCCTTTGGGGCAGTGTTTAATGCCAGCGCCTGAGGTCTGGGTGGTTTCAGGTAGAAATAAGACAAGAAGAGAATGAGTACTTATTAATCACTGCTCAGTTCTCCCTCACCGTGGCGTCTTCTCCCCCTTTTAATGGTCACCTCTTGTTAATGTGTGTGGCTGCTCACAGCTGGTCCCCAGCGAGTTGCCCGCTGGTTTGCAGCTCTGCAGTGCTTTGTTGGCAATGGGGAGGTGGTGGCTGCTCAGGGGCGGGGGTCCTGATGCTGAAAACTTTCCTAGCATTTGTTGGTCTGTGTCTGCTCCTTGCAACACGTGTCAGGTTTGGGTTGGAGCCTCTGAGCAACATGGATATGCTCATCCCGGCAGAATTTTATCTGTTTCCCAGGAGCAGCATTAATTTCTGCCCAGGGCTGACTCAGACCCCAGGAGGTTTTTGGGGCACAGGTGCTCGGGGTGTGTTGGGCAGCTGGGAGGGAGCCGTCTGCCTCCCTTTGGCTCTGGCATGAGCTGCTCGCTTGGTTCGGGCACTTTTACGGCTTCACTCATCACCTAACTGGCTGTCCCGCTGCCAGAACTCCCTTTGCTTCTCATGGACACCAGTGTTTGTCCTGTAGCTAAGGAACCCGTTGGGGTTCTTAACCAAAATACAGGAATAGTTCTGTTTTGCAAAGAATGAACGTACGTTTTCACTGCCTGTTGGCTCGCCTCTGCTGTGGCTGCGTCCCTCAGCAGTCACCAGAGCAGATGCAGCTTGAGTGCTCCTCCTGCCCCGCAGAGCATCCCAGCTCCAGCCGATGATGGGAATATTTTGAATCATTGGCCACCTTTGCTCTGCAGTGGGTTAGAAAGCAATCGCTGGAGCAGCGTGCGTTGACACTGGGGTGCGGGTTAATGCTGAGTGTCTGTGTGGTGTGTCGGCCTCAGCCACAGCCTCAGCCAGACTCTGCCCGTTTCGGCCCTGGCAGCGCCCGTGTCCAGCTGCATCGCTGCTTGTCCACGTCCTTCCCTACTCCCACGTGTGGGAAAGCACGCCTTAGTGCTGCTTTCCCTATCAGCTGGATGATAGCAGAGGTGAACCCCACAATTGCTCCTTTTCTCTTCTCCTTGTCCCTTTGCACGCAGCCTCTCTCTATTTTTAACCTGCTGCGTTCGAGATTTGTTTTCCTGAGCCCTCATGACCTTGGTGATATTTTGACTTTGGGGTATTTAAGAAACAGCATTGTAGGCATCTTGCATGCTGGGGCGTGACTATTGTTGTTGCCAGCCAAGTACTGCTTATTTTTTTGGCTTCTCCTTGCATTCTCACCTTTCAGCAGCCGAGAGATGAGTCCCTTCAGGCTCTCTGAATCCACCCTCGTCTATTTACAGCCAAACACAGCACCCACGTTTATTAACAAGTTATTGTATGTGGGATCCTCTAGAACAGAAATCACGGCGCTGCAGTGTGTCTAGAGAAAGGCTTGGTACAAAATCCTTGGCCCCTCAGTGCGTTGAGGTGGCGTAGTTGTCGTCTTTGGTACTGCTGTCGTCCTGCTGATGTCCCTGCCCAGGATCACAGGCGTGCCTTAACAGAAATGTGGCTAATTTTGTCACTTTATATGGGTCTGTGAAAAACATTTGTTTGGTTGTTAGTTGTTTTTTAGAGAAAATGTCATTTAAAGAAAGTCTCTGAGTGCATTTCTCTCTCGTAGGTTTGAACCATCAGTCCTTTGATCCCGCCAGCAACAAATCCTCTCTGCAGTTGGGCAGCGCTGCTGGCCCGCGGGTGTCGGAAGGCCCAGCTGAGGATGGCAGCGACCCGGGCACGAAGAGGAGGAGAGCGACCGTTCCTGCAGGTGAGCGCGTGGCGGCTCTCGGTGGCCACCCGCAGCGGGGGCACCCGTGTACGCACAAACCAGAGCCGGCTGTGGGGCTGTGGGGTTTGTGCCACGGGTGCGCGGAGGGGAGTGAAGCTGGGGTCTGGCACTGCCCGTAGTCGGGGCAGTGCTCGTGGTTCTGTGCTTGCATGGCTTTGGGTGAGAGCTCGTTGCTGTTTCTGTGCAAAACAAAAGCAACTTCTGTATGGTTTTTTTTAAGCATTGTGGAATCGCTGTACCCGTCCCAGTAGATTTGTCTTTTTTTTACTAACTGGAAGCATGTTCGTTCAATGTTGGTTTTGGATGCTGGTGCTGCAGAGCCCTGCTGGGCAGCGCGTGCCCTGCAGAAGAGTTAAGACACACACTAAGCTCTCAATCGCTTTTTTTTTCCTCTTGACAGATGGTGGCAGAAATCTGAGCCTGGACTCCATTCCGATGGGCTTGCCAATGTCAGACCCCAGCGCCTGGACCACGGCCATGAACAACCTGGGGATGGCTCCCATGGGGATGACAGGACAGCCCCTCCTGCCCGGTACGTGAGCGTGGGCACAGACCCGTCTTTGGGCAGAACCTACCTCAGTTGAGTTAGATAAATGCCTCCCACGTACAAAAACCATCAATAAGCCGTGTTTGTCCGGCTGTATCTGTGGTATCTATTAACAATTAGAGACAACGGAAGCTTGATGTGCTTTGGGCCATCCTTGCTGAAAGCTGGGAGGGACTAAAGTTTCAGGTCACAGTAAAAGTATAGCATAGCATATATATATATGGTGTAGTTGTGACACTTGTACTTTAAGGGGACCTCAGTGTTCAACATGAATGCACAGCACCTCTCACTCCATCCACCTACTGCCAGCTTTGTATAAAAAAAGGTTACCACAGCTTTCACCAAAAAGTGCCTGCCAGGCCTGATGTTTTTGAACTCTGTAGAGTCCTTGAGGACTTTTTTTTTCTTCTTTTTCTGTTCTTAAAAATGGAGACTGGCTCTTCTGAATCTGCTTCTCAAGCCTCTCGGGTGCTGGCCTGTGGCCATGGGCTCAGCTTCTTACCAGAAGCAGCAGGTCTCTGTGCCAGCTGGCGAGTTGTCTCACATGCTGCTGCTTGAGCAATAAACAACTCTGACAACCATGGGCTCTGTTTGCCCCTGCATGCACACTCTACTTTTCATTATAACGTGATAGTGCATTAGTCTGCTGGTTCTTTTGCTTCTGATAATTGTATCCATCACACTTTTAGAAAGCTGTGAGTCTTGTTTAATCAGGAAACGCCCATCTTGGCTTTGTCCTCCCTCGCATTCCCCAGGCTCCTCTGTTCCTGCAGTAGGGATTTTCTCAGGTTGGCATCCATACCCATCCACACCCACTGCTGTCAGCCAGCCTTGGAGCAATAGCAAATCACCAGGGCGAGGTGAGACCACTCTCCTTGGCACAAAACTATAAAACATGAAGGGACTGAATTTAGAGGCTTGCAAAAGCTGCAGCAGTGGGTTTGCTTGCCTGCCCTTGACCAAACTCAGACATCCAGTCTGGGCACTAAACGTTGCCTTGTGTCTGGATTGCTGTCAGTGGTGGCTGTGAAGAGAGGAATACAAAAGCACTTGCCTGCCTCGGGGACATGAATAGCACTGCAACGGTTCCAGCTTGGGATCAAAGGAAAACGCTGCCTCTGCACCACTCGGTTCTGCCTATTTGTGACTTTTGTCTATCCCTTGCAAAGTTAATTTTACCCATCTACATCTGAGACAGGCAGCCAGATTCAAAGGCTGTGCAGTGCTTGGGGCTGCGCATTCTGTGGCAGTGTCCCTTGGTATTTTGGGGTTGCCGAGGTCTTCAGAGCTGCTGCTGCTGCAAAGAGAGAGGAGCTGCTGGTAGAGGTAGAGAAGACAGCGTACACTTGCAGGAGGGAGCTCTGCCCGAGTTCTCTGCCCCATCATACCTGCTGGTGCTGGTGGTCCTTACAGCTCAGCTGCCAAATGTCTCAAACCCTCAAACCCTCTCCATAAGGTGTCCAGGTGTATGGTTTCCAGTTTGATTGCCCACAGGTATTGCTTCCCTCGGGTTTGCAATTTCTGGACAGATAAAAAATCCCTCCTTTGGCAGCTGTGTTTAATTTTATTTGCCATTGGATGCAAATCTAGGAGCAAAACCAAAGTAAAATGCTGCCTAGATACAGTCAGAGTGCTAACTAAAGCATAGAAAGGATAAGACACACGGTGAGGTGTTTTCTTAGATGCTTGTGTGCATTTTACTCAAATTATTCTGGCACGTTCTTAGCTGCTGAAGTTGCTGCACGTGTCTGGTTTGCAAGGTGATGCCCTTAACCCTGTGTCACAAGCTGTCTGCGCTCCTAAACTGCTTAATGAAACTGGGCTGGTTCCATGTGCCACAGATTTCTTTGTATGGATGATATGATACTTGTTGGGGAAGGTTTTGACCCTAGATGGGAGGTGGTGTCTGCAGGGTGGAAACGGAAGCAGTTTATTTGAATGGAGAAAATCTATTTGGCTGAGGCAATAAACAGCGAAACAGTTTTAAAAAGTAGTTCCAAGGGCACAAACGTGAAGTTGTGGTGAGCTGCATTACGATGTCCCCTCTCTATGGCTGATTATTTGGCTAATTTTCCCTGGTGCATGTGAGGAGGGTCTGTTTGCTGTCTGAATAAACAGTAACTTACAAGTCCGAACCACTGCCTGACTTGTACCCGACTCTCTTACTCCCTCCCTCATTTAGATTTTGATCCTGCGCTCGGGATGATGACTGGAATCCCTCCCATCAACCCCATGATGCCAGGCTTGGGGATAGTCCCACCGCCCATCCCTCCGGACATGCCTGCGGTGAAGGAGATCATTCACTGCAAGAGCTGCACTCTCTTCCCACCTAACCCACGTAAGGAGGATTTCCTTTTCACTGGGAATCGGGCGCTTTCATCGTGCAGGGAGGTTGCAGGAGAAGTTTGTGACTGCGTGTTGATATAATTCATAGGAAGGTGCCAGCAGATGGCACCCGAGCCTGGGGGGCTCCCTGCAGTGGGAGTCTGTGGAGCTCCCGTGCCCAGCATTTGAAATAAGGCTCTTGCAATGCCCAGTCTGACCATTCATCTCCTCACCATCCCCAGAAGAAAACCTGTCTTGCTGTGCTGGAAACAGTTTTGGGTTGGTTTTGGTTGTTTTTTTTTGTTTTGTTTTTATTAAATACTTGTTGATCAGCCAGTTCAAGAACTCTGAACGCTGCATCCATGCAAAACTGTGTTCAGTACAAGTGTTAGACTGTGGAAACTGCTGTTGAGGTGTGATCAGGGCTAGAGATGTAGGAATTTTCCAAGGAAAATTGGTATTGCTATTGAAGTAAACAGAGGGGATCTTTGCTAAGGTTATGAAGGTGTACTGGAAAGCAGATTAAACTGCTTAAGTGTGCTCATTCTTGAACAGCACCTCAGCAGGGCTATACATCTGCTGCTCGGTGAAGCTGAATGCAGCGTAGGTGGGTGTGTGTGTGTGTGCAGAAAGCCATGGTTGTCTCTCAGGCAGGCGGATGGAAGGAACACGTGTTGACAACCCAAAAACTGACCCGGTCCGCTCCCTTCTCTGGCTCTCTTCAGATCTTCCCCCTCCAGCAACAAGATCGAGGCCCCCCGGGTGCAAGACGGTGTTTGTTGGGGGACTGCCGGAAAACGCGACCGAGCAGATCATCATGGAGGTGTTTGAGCAGTGCGGGGATCGGAAGAGCAAGAAGAATTTCTGCCACATCCGCTTTGCTGAGGAGTTCATCGTGGACAAGGCGCTGTATCTTTCTGGTATGGCAGCTCGAAATTCTGGGGCAGAGATGTAATGACTCCTTTATGGTTGTAGCGATGGCTGTGTTGCAATTGGAAGATTTCTCTAGTGTTGTCAGTTCACCTCTTTTTCTGCTGCTATTGCATTTCTGCTTAAATACATGAAAACAGGGAGGCATAGCAATGCTTTGTTACCTGGGGTACTGCAAACCTCTGTGAAGTATTGGGATGAGGTACCACTGGAGTCCATGCCCATCCTACCTGGATAAATGTCCAGCTGATTCTGTAGATGATGCCTAAGGGTCCTATGAAAATTTAAAGTTGCTCTCAATTGCTCACTAATTGGGTGGTGGGCTTGACTTTTATAACTTTATTTTCCTTGTTAGTCATCAGAGCTGAAGCATCTGGGCTCCTTTTGCCTGGGGAGCCCCTGTTCTGCCTCTGTAGGGTTTTAAGAGGCTTGTTTCACGGAGAACAGGGACCTCGTGGTTGGTGTTCACAGACTCTGCGTGGATGTGCACGTTTGCTGACCTTATTCCCACTCTCACCAGATGACTGGGGCTGTTCCAAAGATTGCTGCCATCCATCTGCTGCTCTCTTTGCCGTGTCTTACCTCTCATTCCTCCTTTCCCATTCCCAGCTTCTGGACTTTGTGAACGTGTGGAAGAAGCTGAGGCAGTTCTGCCTTTTCTGTGTGAGCAGCAGGGCTGAGCCCCACAGCCTGAGAGGTTGTGTGAAATTAAACCGTTGCTGTTTGAGACCCTGCTAGTGTTTAGAGAAGGGATAGATCATATGAGGTCTTGCTTAGCCTGTGCAAAACAACCTCCTAATGATGTTTCCCTTTCCAGCATTGCTCCCTGTGCAGTAAACTGTCCAGTAAACTCTTCTGTTCAAGGGCTTTCTGACCCTTTAGGAATGAGAGATGGGCACTGATGGGTGGCTGGAGCCCCAGTCACCCATCCTGTCTGACCACTGTTGTCATCACTGCCAGGCTATCGCATCAGGCTGGGCTCCAGCACTGACAAGAAGGACACCGGGCGCCTGCACGTGGATTTTGCCCAGGCCCGGGACGATCTGTACGAGTGGGAGTGCAAGCAGCGGATGCTGGCGCGAGAGGAGCGCCATCGCAGGAGGCTGGAAGAGGAGCGCTTCCGCCCGCCCTCCCCGCCTCCCGTCGTCCATTACTCCGACCATGAGTGCAGCATTGTCGCTGAGAAACTGAAAGGTGAGTGGTTCTGCGGGCCGCGGCCGCCCTTCTGTGCCAGTGCTGTTGGGGGACAGAGGGTTGTGTTCTCCTGTGGTCATCTTGCTGAGCTGAAACGGTGTTACCATCTCGACCCTGCAGAGCCCGTCCAGGCTGAGCCCTCAGCTGCACTCAGCAGCTCTCCTGGCCATCTCGTTTTCAAAATCCTTTGTCTTTTAGTGAAATCAAACCCATGCTTGAGTTTTCCAAACCATTCCTGTTGATGTTAAACGGACTAGTGTAAGTCCGAAGACCTTCTTTGAAGCCTAAGACCCATGTGTGGCCTTATTCTTTTGCAGCTGGAGGATATTTTCTTTCACAAGAGTACATCTGAGTGAGCACGTGAAGTTTTCCAGCAGGTTTCTAGCAGTTGGTCCTCCTCTTGTTGCACCTCAGCAGGTGGTTTGCTCCATCAGCTTGATGTTAGACGTGTCTTCCTTTGTATAGCCTCGTACTCTGATAATACCATGCTTTGAAGAATTGGGATTAGCAGCCTGAAGTAAGCTGACCTTTGAAGGAGAGTGTTTCAGCAGCGCCAGGGAAAGGACCCGAAAGCTGCGCAGGTGACCCTGTGCTGCTGTGGTGTAAAGGTGTCCTTTCTCGCTGCAGATGACACCAAGTTCCTGGAAGCCATCCAGACGCTGCTGACCTGGATAGAGCGTGGGGAGGTGAACAGGAGGACGGCCAACAACTTCTACTCCATGATCCAGTCGGCCAACAGCCACGTTCGCAGGCTGGTGAACGAGAAGGCAGCTCACGAGAAGGAGATGGAGGAAGCGAAAGAGAAATTCAAGCTTGCGCTCTCAGGGATTCTGGTTCAGTGTGAGTAGTGTTTCTGTGCTGAATGAGGCTTGTCTGTCCTTGTTGGGAAGACGCTCAATTTCTGAGGCTGGAAAGGCCACGCTAAAAGGGCTGCAGGAAAAGAAGCAGCAATTGCTTCTGTGCAGCTACAGTGAATTTACAAGCATAGATCATTAACCTGGCAAAAGTTTCGTGTGGTACTTTTTATTGGAGTCCACATCTGGGGGGAGGAGAGAATGAATTCTTAATATTTTTCCTCTTTTAATCATAGTCTGTTAGTAGCTCTGTCATCTTTTCAACTCTGGTTCTGTGCACAGACAAGGTAAGTTCCTGGTGATCTGGTGCCTCGGCGAAGTGCAGGATTAATTCTCCAAAGGTAGGATGCAGCAGAGCTCCCAGCGCCCGTTCTCAGTCACAGCTGAGAGCCCGGTGCAGAACGGCATTTCCAGCCTGGGTCTTTCAGTTCCCAGTGCTTATTGAACCATGAGATGGAGGAAGAGGCATGGGCTGTGTTAGTTCCAGGATGTGATTTGTGATGGTTCCTCAAACCATTCATTGCCTCTTGCACATCCTTTCTCTAGCAAGTCTGAATATTTCTTTTTACACTTTTTTGAGTGCCTTCTCCACAACTGAACTAAGTCTCCTAGAGCCCCTTGGCTAGGTTGTGAACATGCCGAACTTTTGCTTTTATATTCAATAATTTTGGCTGTTACTTATTTAAAACTTGATTTTTTTTAATGCTTTTTAAAATTCTCTTAATGGTAAAAAATATGGGCACACGATCCAGAGGGAAATACAGTAAGCCCTGCAGAGTAAGTAGTCACAGACAGTAGCAGCATGCAGCTCCGCTCTGTAAAACACCCACTGATATCTCGGCCACTCCTGGGTTAATTGAAGTAGCAGAGAGCTGATATTTTGTAAGAATTGTGCCTACATCACAAGTGGAAAAAAAATAATTAAAAAAATTAGATGGATGTGCTTTCTGCTGTTGGTTGATCTCTCATCCCAGCAAAGGCACTTTGTATTTCCAAAAACCTCTGCAAATTTCCCAGAGAAATACTTTGTAAGGAGTCAAGAAGTTGGTGGCTGATGCCCGAGCCCTTTTCCTGCAGCAGGCAGGGGTGGGATGCGGTGCTGGGGCTGTGGTGCTGTGCTTTGGGACTGGGCCCCCTGGGCAGGAGAGCAGCCCAAGCACCAGCATCCACAGCCGTGCTGGATCAGCCCGTTTGGAGCGTGTGCTGCCCGCGTGGACTCATTGCACTCGAGGGCAGCGTTGCGCAGCGTATTGGGGTATTTTTCAGCACGACATGTGGCTGCCTTCTTTTCCCAGCTGAGAGCAGATGCCGTTGTCCCAGTTGATGGTGACTCTGTGAGCATTGACAGCTCACAGACGGGCCTGGTGAAGCCCACGCTTTTTTTTCCAGCACAGAGTCCCTTTCCTGAGCATAGCTTCAGCACAGAACAGTGTTGTAAGAAAAGGTTGGCCAAACCACCTGCCTGATTCCACTTTTTTACTCCTTTACTCCTCTTGTTCGCCCTCTCTGGATGATATTCTGGCCTGATTTGACTGCTGATTTGATACTACAGTCGAGCAGATAGTGGCCGTGTACCATTCTGCCTCCAAACAAAAGGCTTGGGACCATTTCACGAAAGCTCAGCGTAAGAACATCAGCGTGTGGTGCAAACAAGCAGAGGTTGGTAATTTTTTATTGTGTTAGATATTGAAATATATTACTTGTGTTTCTGCATTGAAAGGCCGTCGTGGGGAGTACGGATTCGGTGGCACAGTATCCCCTCTACATGTTTTGTATTGAAATGCCGCAATAAGGACTCCTTGGAGCCCTCTCTTCTCCATGATGAACAACCCCAGCTCTCAGTCTCCTTAGCAGAGGGGTTCCAGCTCTGACCCTTCCTGTGGCCTCCTCTGGACCTGCTCCAGCAGGTTCATGTTCCCCCCGTGCTGGGGACCCCAGAGCTGGCCACAGTGCTCCAGGGGGTCTCACCAGAGTGGAGCAGAGGAGAATCCCCTCCTCTCCGTGCTGTGGGTGATGCAGCCCAGGGTGTGATTGGGCTGTGAGTGCACATTGCTGGCTCACCCAGTTTTTCACCCATCAGCATCCCCCAGTCTCCTCAGGCTGCTCTCAACCCTGTATTGGTACCAGGGGTTGTCCTGACCCAGCTGCAGGACCGTGTTGAATCTCATGAGGTTGTCGTGGGCCCCCATGCCTGTCCGGGTGGCTCTGGTCAGCATCCCTTCCCTCTAGCGTAAGTCTGTGGCTCTGTGCTTCTCTCACTGAGTTCCTTATTACAGACTTGGAAAACAAGTCTGTCCCAGGAAAGCCAGCAGTCGTCTTTCACCTTTAAGGTTATTTAACATCAGAAGTACATCTGGGCAAAGTGGACAGGCTGGTGATTGGTGGTGGGGTTGGGTGTGTGCAGGCCACCTTCCTGCATAGCTGTGACCTGAGCCAAATCTGTAGAGCTGGATGATACCCAGCCAGGGCCTGTCTGGTAGAAAGCAGAGGACGGATCCTCCACAACGCTGAAAACTCTCAGTGGCTGTGTTTTCCTGGGAAAACTGTAATCTCACCATGAGGCTGCACTTCTGGGGCTTCATTCCCAAATCCCATGGAGTCAGACCTTTTGTAGTAGCTAAAGGTTTTATTTTATACCTGATAAATGAGGTGGCGAGCCTGGTTCAGGTTATGCCTCTACTTTGAGCCCCGCTGCTCCTCCTCTTTCCTGCTTTCTGAGGTTCTTACTATGGCTGGGGTGGGAGCGCTCTCTCCATTTGGAGCTGTCTTTTGGTCCAAGGTAAGTTCTCCTGGTGGGAAGAGGCTGTGAGGCCACTGCTGAGGCCTCTTCCAGGGGTGCTTGCTGTGGGCGCAGCCTGCCGGGCTCCCTCCAGCTTAGGGCCTTCTCTCAAAGGAAGGTGACCCCACGAGATGCATCTTCTTGGCACAGCTTGTGGCAGAATTTCATCCCATAGGCCAGGGCTTGATTTTTGTCAGTGGTGACTTGAGGTGGTTCTGCTGGCACAGGTGAATTACTACGAGAAGTCATCATTGTGGGGTTTTATTGATAGTCAAATGAGAAGTAATTGATGATTGAATGATAATTAAATGGTGATTAAGCAGTAATTGAATGGTAATTAAACAGTGAGTTGGCAGTGGGGAGCTGACAGTGGTCAAACACTCTACTATATGTCTAATAAGCTATAGCTGGAGATTATTTATATATATATATATATATACACACACACACACACACATAATATATATATATACACACATACATGCATATAATACACTTTAAGGCATAATGTAGAGTGGTGCTTACCTCATGACAGATGTCAGATGCTGGGTAAGGGGTCCCTCAGCCTTGAGGGGTAACCCTGAGAGAGGTCCCTGCTCAGGGGAGATCCCCGCCTGCTGCTGCACAGCAGAGCTCCAAGGGCTCAGGGGCTGCAGATATTGAAGGTGTCGAGCAAGGGGCTCGTGGTCAGCCCCTCTGGTGAATGTGCAGCCCTAGCAGGTTTGGTGCAGTCCCAGCTCAGGTGGGTGCTGGTATCTCCTGAGAAGATACAGCCTAGCACAGTTTCTCACAGTTTGCTGGCTTCAGTCAGGCATTCTTGTCAGTGATGGCTGAATCCATTTTATTTTTTAGTTATTTCCTCTTTCTTGTACCATGGAGTTGCATTTTGCAGACTTAGATTTCAGCATCTTTTTATCCAACCAATCTGTTCCTTGTAATCGTTGTTAAAATAAACAACCCTCTACTTTCTTGAACCTTAGGAAATCCGTAACATTCACAATGATGAACTAATGGGTATTCGAAGAGAGGAGGAAATGGAAATGTCTGATGAAGAAATAGAAGATCCATCAGAGATGAAAGAAACGGAAGAATCAGGTAAAGCCACTTTTTGCAGCTCATAAACAAAGTATTTGTCAGTGGGCTCTTTCAGGAGCCCCATTCTGGCTGTTTTGTACCCCAGAATTGTCACGGGCAGAGTAAAATCTGCAGCAGCAGTTATTTGGAGCTGTCTTCTCCTCAGTGGTGGTCCCTTCTGCCTGTGATGGGCACGGTCACCCATGCAGTCCCTAGCGAAATGTATGGTCCGTGGAGCTGTAGTGAAGGAGCTGTGAGCTCCCTGCCACGTGTGCGGGTCATGACACAGGCACAGCCGTGTGTAACACAGATGTTGTTGACTACACGAGTGTTTCAGTGGTGGTCAGGTACGTTTCCCGCTGCCACGGGCTGTGTTAGGGACTTTATCACCTGTCATTGGAAGGCTTTTCTTGCCTAACAGTGGTCCTGCCTTCCCCTCGCAGTTCCTAAACTTGCTGGTGCCACGTGCAGCCATGGTCGTTCCACCCCCATGTGTTTTGTTGCTCCTTTTTTCTTTTTCTTCCTACCTAAAATCTTCAGTCACTCTTGAGAGATGCTCTTTGTCCAGAGGAGCTCGTTTGCTAAAGAGGCATCCAAACAGTGAGGGGAGAAATTAATTCTGGTGCTCTGCATTTGTAACTCTGCACTGGGAGCTACAGAGCCTCTGTGCACTGGTGGAGAGCACCCAGGGCCTTCGTGCCCCTGCTTCTTGGACTTTTGATGCCTGCCCGCCTTGTTTGCAGCGCTGGTGTCGCAGGTGGAGGCCCTGAAAGAAGAGAACGACAGCCTGCGCTGGCAGCTGGACGCCTACCGCAACGAGGTGGAGCTGCTGAAGCAGGAGCAAGGCAAAGCCAGCAGGGATGAGGACACCACCAAGGAGCAGCAGATGAAGCTCCTCCAGCAGGCGCTGCAGGGCATGCAGAAGGTGGGCCTGGGCTTTTCTATGGCTGAGGCCGTGTTCCAAAGGCAAAGGGGCTGTGATGTGGGGCAGAAACAGGCAAAGGCATTTTGGTTTTTAGCGGGCACAAAACTGGCAAATGGGAGCAGCTTGCTGTCATTTCCAGCGTTCCCACAACAAACCAACCCAGAACCCAACCAACTGAACATTCCAAACAGTTTGGTTGTGTGAACTGAGTCGCATGGAAACAACCCAGAGGCTGGATTCCTTGTGTGCTCTTAGCTTGACCACGCTGTGACTTCTGGAGTGCTGAGCCTGTGCTTACCCCCTCCAAAACCATGTGAGATCCTGGTTACCAGCACAGGCAAGAACATGGGAAATCCCAAGCTTGCTTTGATGCCTTTTCTAAGCTTTACTGGGCTTTGTGCTCAGGGAAATGCACAGGACAGGTCTTGCTCTGGGGGTGAGGAGGAGTTAGGTCTGGCATGGGTCAGGCCGCAGCCTGGCGCACAACGTGTGCTTTGTTTCGGGGTTTGTTGATGATGAATTACTGCCCCCTCTTTACAAAGTCGTGCTTTATTGTATGGTAATAAACAGAAGTTTTTAAGGTACATTGTGGAAAAGATGTATAATTCTTGCAACCTGTTAATTGTTCTGCATATGATCTGTCTGGTCTTCATGGAAAAGCCCTTACTGATTTCCTATTCTTTAAATAGTAGGGGGTGAAAGGCAAGTTAATAACTGAGTTTGTTTTCTCTTCTAGCATCTCTTGAAAGTACAAGATGAGTACAAAAAGAGAGAAGCCGAGCTAGAAAAAGTGAAAGAAGATAAACTGAAAATAGAAACACTGTTGGAAAACCTGAAGGAGCAGGTATGTGCCATCCCAGTGCTTCCTCGTTCGCAGTAGTAAATGCAGTCCCTGGGTGTCAGGTCCATCACGAGTGCAGTGGAGGACCTCTGTCCTCTGCACCCTTGTGGAAGATGCTGTGCCCTGGCTGAGGAGCAGTTATCTTTGGAAAGCAGAGCTGCTCAGTGCCTGATGTCCCAGAACAGCAGTAACGCTGCCGTCAGCAACCTTTCCTTCTCCTTCCCTCTGTACAGCAGAGCATGGCAGATGAAGAGGACAAGGAGAGAGACACCAGTGATTGTCAAGGCAATGTAAGTATGAGTTTCTTTTCTGCTGTGGTCAGAATGGCTTACTGAGGGAATTAGTGATGCCTCGTTGCAAAATGAGCAGTCTTGTGAAGGTTGGTTTGTGGTGAGGTGTGTGAGCGTGGTGTGCACAGACTCCTTATGCACAAATTCAAATCATCCAGTTACCCATTGCTAGCACTGTCTGGCTGGAAGAACAATAGGCATTTGCAATGCTGTGGTGTAGAAATGGCTTTTGGTGTGCAAGGTAACTTCTTGTGCTGGTATTTCAACCTGCTGTCAAAAATTCCCACTGGATCTCCAGAGGAAGCTGCCGGTGCATTTCCAGTAGAACACTACTGGCTGAACTGGAGCCCCTGTGTCAGCCCAGAGCAGTTTCCACAGCGCAGACCTTCCCTGTCTCCTGCAGCAGCAGATTCCAGCCTGCACGGGCCAGGGCTGCGTGGATTCCGCCCCGTGTAGTAGAGAATTACCCTGGTGTAAGCAGCCGGGTGAACCTGAGGGGCCGTTCAATTCCCTCTTCATTGCTGGCCCAAGTCCAGCCCGTTTCATTACTGACTGGAGGCCATTTCCAATTATAGCTGTCTGCAGCTCCCAGACCACTGGAATTCCGCATAAAGCTTGGGAGTAAAAGAAAGTCCTGCTTTTAGTGCACGCTGCCAGTCCTGTGTTTATTTTGGGGATGATAAATTATGCAAAATCCTGGTTTAATTCAGTACGAGTCAAGGACAGTCTGATCCTAAACCCGTTGCAGCCATTGGGCGCCTGGTTAATCACATTGCCTCGGTTTGGGCAGCTGAGAAATAAACATCTGCATCTCAATTAGTCCCTGCAAGGCTTGCCTTCTAGGCTGCTTCTTCCTCTGTTACTTAAAATAAGGCCCTTCTCGAGCAGTGAAGAGGGCTGATAAAGTGTGGTTGTGGCATCTTGCTTAACTCCAAGGGCTCAGTCGAAGTCGGTAGCTCAGAGCCAGCAGTGGCCGTAGCTGTGCTCTCTTGGCAGCAGTTTGCAAAATAAACAGCGGATCCAGGGATGTGGTGAATGCGGTGACTCACAGGAGCCACAAGGCAAGCACAGGCTCTGGCCAGGCCATCCAAGCTCGTGTGAGAGCGCCTGCTGTGCGTGCGGCGGGGCCTGTCAGGTGTGTTTGGGTTTTGCAGGAGAGCAGCACATCCCGGGTGTGTGCCTGCAGCCAGGAGAAGGAATGTCCCGTGGAGAAGACGCTGAGCCACAGTCCCGTCAAGTCCGAGCGAGAGGTTCTGCTGGTTGGTGAGTTCTGGTGGCCTCGGTGACGGTGCTGGACACCTCAGCTGAGCAGGACTTGCTTCAAGGTGGCCTCACAGCTTCCTTTGGCCGTGCCAATGGAGGAGGGAGCCCATGAAGTTCCCCTGGGATGGGAAATACTGCCAGTGTTTTTGAGTGATGCTCCTGAAGGCACTGTGACCTCCGATTCACAGCACGGGTGTATCTGCCACCCTTTTAATTTCCTTTCCCCTTTCCTATTCCTAGTAATATAGAAAAATAATTTAACATGGCATGCCCTGGCTTTTCAGCCCAAAGCACTGGGCAGCTGGGGATTTTCTGGAGCATTCCAAGGAGGGACAGAAGTCCCTGTCTTGCTGAGACAAAGCATTTTCTTTAGTTCACTGTCACTCAGCCAAGTTCTCCCTCTACGTTCGATTTGAGCGTAACAACACATGATTTATTGTTATCCAGATGGGTCTGTCCATGCCCAGTCATGGGCTGGTGTCTGCAGTGAGAGGGAAGGGGTCCTCTCTGCTGGCTGTGCTCTCAGCAGTGATGTTTGTGCTGTTCCTTTCCCCAGGAATCATTTCGACGTTTCTTCACGTGCACCCGTTTGGAGCCAGCATCGAGTACATCTGCTCCTACCTGCAGCGCCTGGACAGCAAGGTGGGTGTGCCAGCGCTCCCAGCCTGGGCCCCGTGTCTGTCCCCGAATGCACGGGGTCTGTGTGGCTGCTGGAGAGCCTCACTGCCCGGGCTGCACGCTGAGGACGGGGTCTGTTCACTGCCATAATTTGCTGGAGGAGGACAAGGGGAAGGGCGAACTGCCTTAGAATCACAGTTTGGGTTGGGAGGGACCTTTAAAGATCATCCAGACCCCCCTTGCTGTGGGCAGGGACCTCCCTCACTGCTGGACACGGCCCAGCCCTTACCCAGCTCAGCGTTAACGTGAATCGGAGCCGAAGATGATGCTCAAACTGCTGATGTTCATGTGCAGTCCTCGTAACTCAAGAAGACCTTTGATGGTGGCTGTGTTCTGAATTCCGTCTTTAAAGTCTCAACCTAAAATATGTTTTTGTTTATTCTGTTTCAATCTGCTGCCTCTTTTTCCCTTATCCTTATGACCTCTAAGGAAGAGAGCAAACAACCCTCCTCTTGCACAGTTTATTATCTTGTAGCGTCTGCCATGCCGCTGTTTGTGTGTATTCTCTCCAGGCTGACCACTGGCTCTGTCTCTGTGTCTCTGAGCAGAGTTTTTACGTATTTCTGATCCCGTAGCCCTTCTCTGAGTCTTTTCCATCTGTTTTGATGCTGTCAGTGCAGTCGTTTTCAGGAGGGTGCTGTGCAAGGCCCTGACGCTACGGAAGCGCGCGCGCGGGGTCGCTGTCCCTGCTGCAGGGCTCTGTGACGAGTGGAGGGGTCAAGGAGGCAATAACAGCAGCGCTCGTGCGTTTGCCCCATGTGAGAAGAAGCTGCTGTTTCCTGCAGCATTTGTGTGTCCTTGGCTCCTTTTTGGAGTGACTGAGGCTGTGCAAAGGCTTCTGAAGGCTCAAGGAAATGGCACCTCGGAGCTTGGAGCGCCCCAGAGCAGAGCCTGACCACCAGGGGAATCATCCCTTGGGACCAGCACTTCAGCTGCTCTTGTTTATAACTTACTGTTTAGTTTTCCCTGCTCTCAGAAAGCGCAGCTCGCTGGCCTGCGTTTTCCAGCCCTTTCAAGATGTATCTGATAATGTATCTGCTCATTCTGGTTCTCAGTTTGTCTATGACGAGCAGCTGCCTCTGTTTTCCTTTGCTGCTGCTAAAGAAACGCCATGGTATCGTCCATCCGCCTTCTGGCGCTTCCTTTGGTGATCTGTGGTGCAGGAAAGGGTCACTGGGAGTTTCTACAGTAAACTTCGTGGAAAGGTGCATCCTTTACCCTTGGCAATGGCAGACATTGAAGGTTTGGATTTCGTGTAACCTCCAGGTCTGGTATCTCAGCTCTATCTGAGCAGCTCCTGTGCTGTAGGGCTGTGGTAGCTGCACTGGAGATCGATGCTTGTGAGGGTTCACAATGTGAGTGTTAATTCCCCCTGCCCCTGATTCCTGTACCCAGTGAGAGCTCTGTTCGTGCAGCAGCAGTAAAAGTACTCGGCTGCTTTAATGTTTGAGAGGTTTTTAATCCATTATCTTGCATTTCATAGTGGGAAAGAATTGGGACAATCCTTTTGCCCCCCCTTATTTCTGGTGGTGGTTGTACCTGCAGCCATCTCACCCCAGAGTGCTGTGTGTCTGGTGCTGTCCCCGGCTTTTTGGACAGGAAAGGCTGGGCGTGCTCAGTGATGGAACGTGTGTGAGCTCGAGTATCAGCAGTCACGACAGTGACCAGAAGTGTCTGTGGTGGTGACGATTTCCGTGTTCCCCAGATCTGCACGGCCGAGGTGGAGGTGCTCATGACACGGCTGCACAACACCTTCAGGCAGGAGCTGAGCGGCGTCGGGGCCAGCCTGGAGAAGAGGTGGAAGTTCTGTGGCTTCGATGGGCTGAAGATGACCTGAGCTCCGGCTGAGCACCGAGAGAACCCGGGATGCTCCTGCCCTGCTGGTGTGGTCACCTCGCACACGTCACGGACACGGCTGGGCCGCGGTGTGAGTGAAGCTGTGAGAGTGGAGCGGTGCGGGAGGGCACGTGGAGCTCTGCAGCTGCTGGGGTGGGTGACGTGGAACAGCGCTTTGCCCGTTCACGGACACACGGTGAAAAAAGCTCCTGTCTGGTATTTCTAAGCACAGCGTGTTGACTACTTGTTTTGCCAATGTTGTGTGTGTTTCGTGTGCCCAAATCTCTCGTCCCGTACCTTCTTTTGATGGTAGGAACAGCCATAGACTGTCCTCTGAAGCAGCATCAAGGAGGCATTTTCTGGTTTCTAGAACCACCAAAAGAGATTGAAAAGGTGGATTTTTAGACATTTCTATGATTAAACCCAGGTCTGTTTAAACAGAAGATTCACAATTGGTCCTCTTCCTTGCTGCTTTCTCTGTTAATGGTTTAACAGCGAGGCTCAGAGGGGGAGCCGGGTGCGATTCGGGCAGTGCCACGGGTGCTCTGTGTGCTGCAGAGCCTGTAAATAACTTTGTACATGGGAAGGAGGTGAATTTTCTGCTGATGGGGTGGAGCAGGGAGCCCACATCAGCCCTTTGTCAGTAATGGTTTAATAACCACATTTCCCCACTCGCTCTGCTTCGGAGCCTGAACTCCTGGCGGTGCCACAAGCAGCACAGACTCCCAAATCTTCCCCCCCCAGAGGCTGTCCCCGTGCTCTCGGTAAGTGCCAGGCTGCTCCCCAGCTGCAGAGGTTGGTGAGGTGCAGGGTGAAACGCTGCTGCCCATGGCCAGGTCCCTCTGCAGAGCCTCCCTACCCTCCTGCAGACCAACACTCCCCCAAAATTGGTGTCATCTGAAGAACTGAGGTCCAGGTGGGTCACAAAGGTGTTAACCAGAGCTGGCCCCGGTACCCAGCGCTGGGGACACCTCCAGCTCCCACCGTGTTTCCCTGATTGCCCCTATACATCCACTTCTCTTCTGGCCGTGCAATGGCTCCCAGCTCCTCCCGCTGTCACCGTGCTGTGTGCGTGGCTGTGGATGTGCTTCAGCCGGGCTCTTGATCCCGCCACCCTTTCTGGGGGAGAAGCCCCAACTCCTCTGTGCCTGTTCTCAGGCGATTCCCTGGTTTCTGACACATCAGCACCCTCACATCTCTGCCGCTGCATGGCTCCCCATCCCCTACCCCTCCAAAACTGCAGACTGAAGGGCCTCGCTGGTGCCTCGTCCCCCAGACCTTGGCCTGCCACCCCCACTGAGCTCTGGTGAGGTTTTGTCCCCCTCCAAATCTGGTTTAAAGCTCTCACAAAGCTCCTGTGCCCCTGGAGCAGCTCCTGGCACCGAGGGCCTGGCTGTGCTGGATGCAGATGAAAACTCTTCTGAAGAAACATCCTGAATTACTGTGTCACTGCAGGTGAACCTTGTATTTTTAAGGAATAAACATTTTTTATGGGCAAATCGTGGCCCTGTGCTTTCTTTTTCTCCCCCAGCGTTCACTGCCTGCTGCAGGAGAGGAGATGCTCCATCCCCGCTCCTCTGCCACCGCAGGGTTCGCTGCCCTGTGGTGCATTCACAAATACTGGGTAAGGAATCAGTGGCAAACGGCTGTGAAATGCTCCCTGCTTCCCCTGCAGTCTCCTGATGTTTATCCAATGGGGTGAATTTGGGGACCATCACCTCCTCCTTCCCTCCTCCAAGCACATGGCGTTGCTGGCGGTGGTGATGGTGCAGCACAGCATCACCGGGGTAGGTTTGGTGACACAGACGAGCAGTGAGGAGATGCAGAGAAAAGGGGAGCTCAGCAAAAGGGTCCCTGTGCCATGGCCACACATTTTGGAGGGGGCTGCAGGCCTGGCTGTGGCCTCTCCAAATGTGGCCCCTGGTGCCTGCAGGGTCGGGAGCTGTGGGGATCCCTTGGGCAGCAGCAGAGCCGAGTCCTGGATGAGCAGGAGGTGTCTGGTTTAGAAGGGAGCCTGAGGATAACCCTGGCCCTCCTGCAGAAAGGTGCTCTGGAGGTGTAAGAGCTGTGCCTGGGGTGGGATGTGTCCTGGTATGGGCACCTGGGTGGCTTTTGGGGGCTTTGCACCATGTTCCCAGCTGGGACAGTGTGGATCTGCCCAGCCAATGCACTGCTGGATCCCTGTCATCACCGTGTCATGGATCAGGAGCCCGGCTGCAGTCCCTGAGGTCCCCGAGGTCCACGTGGGTGTGTTGATGCGCAAGAAGATGCCATTTTTGGATGTTAGCACACATCTCGCTGTGGATTTGCAAGGCTCGGGGTCTGTATCCAGCACATCGTGGGTGCAGAGGCCCTGTGCCTGGAGACCCCATCACTGCTGCGATGGAGCAGCTGAGAGGTGTCCATGGAGAGCCAAGGCCAAACTCATCCCCTGCCCTCATGGACCTGCACCCAGACCCCAAATTTCCCTCCCAGCTGCTGGAACTGCCCTGTCCCTCGTGGATGCCCTGGCCACTGATGGAGGGGGATGGAGGAGATGCATTGAGCAACGGCGGGTCCCTGGCCAAGGGACGCTGTCAGGCGTGGGAAGTGCGGCTCCTTTCCATCCAGCCCTGCCCTCTCCCTGGCTCTTTTGGCAGAAACCTCCCGTTCTCATCACCCCTCTCCTCCCCTCGGCCCCGTTCGGCTGCAGCCTCCCCTCTCCGGCACTTTTCGTCCCGGTCAGGGATCAGCGACACAGCGGAGGCTCCGTTTCGGGACCCGTCGGCTTGGAGCAGGAGACGGGAGCCCAATCTGCCAGGAGGGAGCCAGGAAGGTAAATGCAGCCCCGAATCCAACAGGGGCAGAGCGGCTTTGCTGCTGGAAATAGGGGAGCAGCCGCAGCTCCTGGGGTACAGCGGGGGGAGGCTGAGCTGAGCTTTTCCCATGGGATTTCCTCAAATAAGCCCAAGTCCTAAAAATATGCAGGGAAAGTCATCGCAGAGAGGAAATGCTGCGTTAACGCTCCCAGTGAAAGGCATTTTATTGCTGTTTTCATGATGATTCCCCTTGCAGCATCCCCTCCGAGGGAGGATTTGCAGTACTTTGGCTTCTGCCCCTGCTGTGTTCTGGCGTTTTCCCCCTTGCAGGAGCACCGGGTGCCTGCCTGGGCTGAGCTCTTAAACGAGATCCCCTATGCAGGGCATCACCCACCTCGGGGCAGCCACCCCGCCGCTGTGCTGCCCTCGGGGAGTTTGGGGTTGCCGATGGTCCCCATGCCCGCTCCCGCGAGCATTAATACAGGCTTGTTGTGAGAACTGAAGCCAGGGCTTTGGGGGTTAATGGTTGATGGAAGCTGGCGGTGGTGGTGGTTTTATCGGGCTGTTACGGGGCTGCTCAGGCAGCGCTGCGGCGGGGCAGATAAACACCCGCTCGCCTCGGTTCCTCCTCCCGCCGCATCCCCTGTGCCTCCGCTCCGGCCACCGCTCCCTGCGCCCGCAGGACGGTGATGTCCGTCCGTCCAGGGCAGTCCGTCCGTCCAGGACTGACTGTCTGTCCATCTGTCCGCCTGTTTCTGGCATGGCAGAACCTCGGGAGCGGTCGCTGGGGGTGCCCCTGCCCCTCAAAGCTGAGGTTTTCTCTGCGCCCCCCTCTCCCGCCCAGGCTGCTTCCCAGCATCCCTGTCTGCACAGCCTGGTAGGTCCGGTTATTTATTTTGCTTTAAAACTGACCTCTTGCAGGCAGCCCTGCTGAGACAGTGAAGAAAATACATCCCTAAAGGCCGCTGCTTCCCTCCACAGGAGTTTTATCTGTTTTTTCTGGAGGAAGAAAGTAATAAAAAGCCGTGTATTGCATTTGCATTCATCGCTGAGCTTGGCGGGAGTGTGGGGGGCAGAAAGCTGAGGGGCGGCCAAAGCAGAGCCCAAAGATCGGCTCCTGATGGTCTTTAATAATTCAGTAATGAAAAAGCCCTTTTTCAAGTAAGATGTGGATGCACTGCCTAAAATTTAAGCAGGAACTGAGACCCTTTCCCTTTGAGGCATCCCCTGGGCTGGCTGCGGGCTTGGCTGCTATGGGAGGGGATCCCAGCCCTTCCTGGACAGCCAGGGGCACCCCCAATTTTGGTCACCCCGAGGTGCTGAGCCGCATCCTGTGTTGGTCATGAGCCACGGTGCTTTTGTAGTGAGCATCTGATGTTTGGAGAGTACCTCTGCCTTCAGCTGGATTCCCTTTTTGGTGCTCCCTTGTGCGGCGTTCGTAACAACTTGTTTATATATGTAATTTATTTTTACTCTATGTGACTTTCTAAATATCTTCAGAAATAGAAAACCTGCCCAAAGGAAACACTGCCCTTGTCTCCAGCCCTTGGGGGGGTGACCGATGCGAGACCGATGCTGGACTCTGTGCAGTCGCTGTGGGTTCCCCCCCCTCCTCATCACCAGCTCCAGGAGCTTCCCAGCCGTTCATTTCCCATCAAAACCCTCTCTGGGAAGGCTCTCTTCATCTCCTGCACCCTGACTGCATTTTCTCTGCGCACACCCCAGTAACCTTGGTCCTTTCTTCCGTTTGCTGCTGTTTTTTGCTCTTTGGACCATGGCCTGGGACGGGTGGTGCGAGCACCCAGCGCAATGCAGGTCTGGGATTTGGCTCCGGTCCTCACCAGGGACCCGCAAAAACACCCAGGAGAGCCCCCGATGGCTGCAGTAACCTTGGTAACTTCCACTGCCTTGGTCTGCTGGGGCCTCGCTGCTGGAAAGGGAGAAATTTCATGTACGTGGGTCCATGTTGGGCTTTGTGGGGTCAGAGGTGGCGGCTGGAATGGGCCAGGGAGCAACGCCAAGCCCTGGGGGCTGCTGGGGTTTTGGGAGCTGGGACTGGGTCCCCCCCTTGCGCTCCCTGATGCCCCCAAGGCCTTTCCTTTGGAGCTCCAAGTGAGGTGGCGTGAGGTGGCTTTTTGGGGAGGGGAAGGATGACCAAGTGTCCTCTGCGTGTCCAAGGATCCGCTCTCTAATTGGTATGTTG